AATAAAAAATATGGGAGTTTTTGTTTGTTTTTTGGGATTTTTTGGGGGGTGGGGGGAGGGGAAATGACACTGTCATTCAACTAGGGAAGGGGGTTGTGGGGCTGCCCCGCTAACGCCTCGCCTCGCCCCGCTCCGCAGGTGCTGCTCGTCCGTGAGAGAGACTCATCCCGGGGCCCAGACATGCCGTGGCCGAGCAGGAAGCGAAGTCAAGCATCGGCTGAAGGTCTGTGCGCGGGTCGGCCGCGGGTCCGGGGTGCACGTGGCGGGCGTGGTAAAAAGAAATGCTAAAATCCGGACCTCAAAATGATCCTATCTGAGAAATTGCAAATATCTATCTGAGAAATTACAGATATCTATCTATCTATCTAGCCTGAAAACTTGCAGAAAAAGATAATTTTTTTTTTTTTGGTGCGTGTGCAATTTTTCACGTTTCTTTTCTCGGTTGGTCTAAAAGGGGATCGCTTTTGAACCACGAGTAAATGGTTCCGAAATTTTCACTTCTTGGGTCTCGTTTCTAGCGACAGTCGTGGATTTACATTGCACCAGCGGCTGCCGTAATGAAGTGTTTCAAACACAGTTGTAGGTTTGCTTTGCAGTTTGTGGTCGGGGAACGTGGTTTGGGATGGGAGGACTGGACACCAGAGTGGTATACGGGCAGTCCTTGGACTTGCCACACAACTGAGTTGAAACATTGTAACTCAGAACTGATTTTCCCATAGGAAGCAATGTTATAGATGGGGGTTGGTTACTGAATTGAGGTCCAATACCGTATTTTCACAAAAGATAACCAAGAAGCTTGTACTGAATCAATTATAGACGTGTAATAAAGCTACATTAATGTATTTATACTGTAAATAGCAATCATACTGATCGGGAAGGACTTCTTTGAGGTGACTTTGCTGGACTTTTTGGAGGGCTCTTGGTGGCTGCAGGTTTTTCTGGAGTCTTGAACTTGTTCGCTGGCGTGGCGTTGCATCAGATCGAGCATTGTAAAGTTGAAACTGATGTCAGAAAGTTGAAACGGGGTGTCAATTTTATAAACGTTGTAAGTGCGAAACATTGTAAATCAAGGACTGCCTGTACTCACTTCTGCTTTTAGACTGTGCACAGGTCTCTTCATTTCGCGCTCTAATCCATGTGCCTTTTTGCATCCCGGGCCGTGCCGCCCAGAGTTCAGATTGTAGGTTGAGGTGGGCAAAACGCAGCCTGTGGGGTGGATGCATCCCACCAGGCCATTATATCTGGCCCACGAGGCCCCTAAAAATTTTAGAAAATTAATATTTATCTGCCCTGGGCTGCCTGTCATGCGGCCCTCAATGGCTTGCCGAAACTCAGTAAGCGGCCCTCTGCCCAAAATAATTGCCCGCCCCTGTTGTAGATGCATGCAGTGGGGCAGGATTTATCAGCAAGGGTCTTGCACAATGGGACGTATCTCTGTAGTATCTAGGCATTGCTGCAAAACAAATCATTAAAATTTGAGGCAGAGGCTGGTTCTGTTTACTTGCCAGCTGACTTGCTCAACTTGGTGCCTGGCAGTTAGTTTCCCAGCTCTTAAAAATGTAGATTCTGCTGCATTTCACTGTGATTTTGAGGAAGCTAATCCTTATCTTGGCTTTCCTATAATATGAGAACATTTCAAGCAATCATTAGATTACACCTGTCTGATAGGTGGGGGAAAAAAGCTTTGTTTCTTGCTTTTGTACATATCGGAAACATTGGACCTTACAAGCCTATGTGCTTTTTGTCAGCCAAAGTTGGAGTCTTGAACTCCCCCACATTCTCCTACTCTGTCCAGGTAACATCAAGTAGCAGACCTACGTGGATGCAAATCAAGTGATTACAGACGTTGCCAAATTGGAAAGAAAATGTGTTCTACATGTATTTCTCTAACTGGTTTCTTTTAAAGATAAAAAGAAGCCTGAGACTAAGCAAGCCAAGCATGAAAGTCATGAGGAGGAGGAGGAAGAGGAGTCCATGCCATCTGCCGCGGAGAGTTCAAAACCAGCAAAGAAAAGCTCGGGATGGGCTGTCAAGAAAGAGGCCAGCTCTGATGGACAGGGAAGCAAGCAAGTATACGGCCACTGGCTTCTGAAATCGGAGCCGGAAAGCAGGTTCGAGAAGGGAGCAGATGTGAAAGTAAGCACTTACAGTCACCAGGCTTGCTTGGGCAGGAGGTAGAGGGTGCTGGGAGAGGAGTGCAAGCTGCTAAACAGAGGGCCAGCACCTGAACTTTATTGATTGTGGGATCAAAGGTTTCAGGCTTTATTTGCAACAACAAAATTGCTTTATTCCTTCCCCACTTCTCAACATGTGGCGGCTCACAAATACTGCTCTTTCTGGGAACAATGCCACATAGTTCAGTGAGCGTTTAACTCTGTGCATGTAGCTCATAAGAGTATAGGCATAAGTTGAATCTGTTAGATTCCCTGTTACTGCAGGTTAAATGCTTAATGTCAGACCACATTTGAAGATTGATCAAAAGGCCTTTTTTTCTATCGCAGTAACTGCAGAGAGGCTGGAATTGCTGAAATGTAGGGCGAGAGCCTCTTTCTCACCCCTAGAATCCATGAAAGATATTAAGTGCTGTGCTAGCAGAAACAGTACAATAGCCCCATTCGTGCTTAAATCTCCAAGACTGCCAGAGCATTCCTG